CGAAAACAGAATAAAAAAAACCTCATTAAACTATGTAATATTTCTTGGTATCAGTTTTTCTTTCCGCTTATAGAAAAGTGCGCTTTTTATTCACAGTTCTTAGAAAGTGTATGTATTTGTATAGCTTCATGAGGCTTGGTATTGTCTCTATGGCTTACAGTGTGCGTGCAATGAATATGAAATTATCTAGGTCAAGCACATTTTATTTCAACGACCTTGAACGGTTTCTTTTAATTTTTCATAGTTTGTGACAAATTTTCCAGCGACTGAAAGTAGCAATATCTGACGTTTAATAAAATAATATTTGTTACAATACTTACACTTACTCGAAGATATCCTGGAAAGAAAGTGTTAAGGGCACAGAATGACACGAATTGCGTTAAGTATCTGTAAATTTATATTCTTTTCATCTTTTTTTTTTACTTTTACTTGCCACAAATTAAATTAGTACAGTATGCGTGACAGAACTGATCGGATAAAAAGAGTAATTTCGCCCATTTATCTAGAAGAAGAGAAATTAGTTACAAAGATTTACAGATAAATGCAATTTTTCCAACTTTTACTCTTACATTTCCTCCATTGTTATAATTTTTATTTAACATCTTCTTTTCCCTTCTTTTATGCACAACGATGTCACATTACAGATACCTACGTTATCATTGAATTCTTCGGTAACTGATAGTCGAAAATATATTATACAGACTAGATGGCCCTTGTAAAATAACGCGATTCCTTTCAAGAATTCGCTACCTGACACATGATATGTTTACGAATGAGAATTTTTCAAACGGCGCGGCGCAGGAAACTTGACAATTTGAGGTAACCATCGTTCAGCCACAAGAAATTACAGATGGTATCAAGCCATGTTAACCCTTTCAGCGCATTCACTATCTTCGAGACAGTGTATTTGCCGTTTACATGCGTACAGTAATAATTTCTACACTTCTTATCGTTAAATATACCATACAAATGTAATTGTTTATGTAAAAAAATTCAAACGTTAATAGTACTCTAATATAAACGACATTTCTCATTTCTTGGATTATATACAAATTTGAATTTCTTCATTTCATATTTAAATAAGGATCTACTACGCATAATATATGTAAACTTGTTTAATTTCTTCTAACAGACAATACAGTATGTCAAATATATTTAATTACGAAATTAGCATTCGTTATTACAGCAGTCGTTAAATAATCTTTATTTAATAAAATTATATTCATGTATATAACTACTGAATACGATTAAATACATAATATGCCTGTGAATTACACGTGTGAAAGGGTCGAAGCTTGTCTTTTTTCTTCTGTTTTATTCAGTTGCGTACATCGGTTTATTATTCTTGTTTAATCCACAGAGGAACGGAAATCTTAGTAACGAGTATATTAAAAACTGATGCTTGCGTAATTACACGAACCATATACGCCGAGAGAATATTTTTCCATTATTAAACTTTTTACAATCTAACCGTCTTCTCTGTTTCGTGGTATTTTCTCGTACAATATACGATATATACATATTTCAACGCATCTATGCGAGATAAATTAACAAATCATCATTTCTTGGATGCAAAATCTTTCACGCATGTTTTCTAACAAAAATTCTTTCCTCTTTTTTTTCGGTAGCGATTTCGCTAGGCATCGTCGCAGATATGAATTTCACCAATTACTTTTTCGTCGTGTACAAGTTACTCATTCCCCTTCTCACACATTTTCCACGCGAGTTTCCAGGCAATAGATAGAAAACTTGCATAACCCTGTGCAAGCGGCGTCGATCAAACGACCGTTTTCATATTAGCGCTGATCTGCTTTGGAGAAACATGATCAGAATTCTAGCCTAAGTACATGTATATATACAGAAATACTACAGCCGCTTTGAAACGCGTCTGTACCATTTTTCTCTCTCTCTCTCTTTTTTTTTTCTTCGCAAAAATTGCTTAATTCGGGACTTCTTAAAACTGACCCTTTGTAAGAGAATATGAACTCTTCCTTACATACTTGGTCTCTTCGTTTAAAGCTATGATTATTAAGGATTGGAGGCAATTGATTTTTTTTTCTCTTTGTTCGTTACAGGTCTCATGCTGCTATCGGTTTCTAGTCCAACAATCATTATCGACTGTTACGTACAGAACGTTTAATATCGACCTCTACTTATAAATTTTACAATGTATATTTTCGTTGTATAAATTTTGGACACCTTGTATACAATATACTATATTAAAAAACATTTAAATGATTTCACACGAGAAACAATCCTTTCTTTTTTTTAGTTTTAAGGGACACTGCTTCGATATGTTAACTGCGTTAATATAGTACTTATCATACTAATGAAAACAGTCGTGAAAAAGCGAGAAAAATTGAAGTGTACATATTTTTGGTAAGCACGATACGATACAGTAGAATAGAAAGTGGTGCAAATTATAATTATGTATAATAGTGAAAAGTTGATCATGGACAACGTAAGTCTCAGAATCTGGTTACAGCAACGGAAAACAACCGTTTCAACGCTTTAATAGTCACAAAGAGTAAGGCTATTTATGATGTTCAAGATTTATTCCAATATATTTTTCAATTTCGATATTCTCTAGTCTTTCACTCTTTCGCAGTTAACGACAACGACAAGCGTTTCTCCAAAACGTTCACCGTGTATTATTAACTTTCGTAGATTCTCGACGATTTTTTTACGTTTACGTTTATTATTTCTTTCTTCGCAAACATAAAGTATCGGGTTGTCCGGGAAGTAGCGCAATTTAAACCGTCGTACCTCTGTTTCTAATTGACACAGTAACAAAAGTTAAACGGTACATTCCTCGACAGTTAATGGCGAATCCAACGCACTGCTCCAATTATTCGTAAGATGAA